ACATGTCTTATTATTACATTTTTATAAGATCACGCGTAGTCAAGTAGTTCATTTCCATATAAATCACACATACACGTAGATCATTTGCACGTAGAACATCTTCATAATATTCACATATCACATAGCTTATACTTGTTCTTATATCTTCTCATAACATATTCTCTTATCACTTTCTGTCATATCATTCTCACCATTTAATTTCACTAATTCATAGTCATGTGGCTTATCTTATATACCTATATTCACATACCTTATGTAATCATATAGATCATTCATATTAATTCCTATAACTTATCACAATACATGTATTCACACAAATCATTTAATACATAATGTAATATATATCACATATACCCAAATCAAACATATGCATATGATCATAAATTCATGCATTCTAATATAGGAAATAGACTCGTCGCAAGTCTTATTTCCATTAAACATCATGAGCTAACTTGTATGCACTCACCTTGGCATCACTAAGTTTCAATCCCATTTTATGATTTCCTTTCTTCCGATGGAATCTTAACTTGATGGTCATCCCGGAACTTGTCTGTGCTCGATATCTACATGTTTATACATTGATACATATAGTATCTAATTGATGTATTCTAATCTATCATTTCCTAGACCAAAAGAAAGACCTAATTCTATTTTCCCTTGAAGTGCATCGGTACATTATACAGTGTATCGATGCACAATGCATCCCTTAACATGTGCATCGATGCACTACCCCATGCATTGATACACAATTTATATTCGATGTTTCCATTTTAAGGGGTGCATCGATGCACCCCCTATGCATCGATGCACGCACAGCATTCGATGTTCATTTATTTGAGAGTGCATCGGTACACAATGAATGTGCATCGATGCACACAACCCAGAAATTCCAACTAGAGCACGAAATTCACTTTCTTTTTAGCTCAACTCTTCATATTTATTCCCTTTTATATTCTTAACTCATATACACATATTCAAACTCATCTCTATTCATTCATCACCTTTTTAACATCAAAATCCTATTCTCCATATGTAATTCAATAATTACACTAAATTTTCAACATGTTCCAAATCTACTTCTAACACCCCATATCTCTTAATTCAATCATTGACAAACCAAATTCAACTTCAAAATATACTAACTCCCTCCATTCCAATAATTCACTTAAAAACTCTTCATAATTATTCCTTCACAACTCATCCATTTTGAAGTTTCAACATGCTTTAATCTTTAAATAATCTTTCTTATCACCCCAAGAATCAAAACTAAACTTAAAACTCATGAATTAACCAGTTGAAATTAAACTTACCTTTGCTATGGAGCTTACGGGAAGAGAAGAAGAAGAAGAAGGTTGAACCAAAGTCTCCAGACTTTTCTATTTTCTTTTCTCCCTTTTCCACGTGCCATCTCCTATAATAAGGAGGAATAAAAAAATTTCTTATGAAATTACTATTATACCCTTAAAATTTCCATAATTACCATTTAATATAACACCGAAATTTTCCATTTATGTCCTTAAACTTTTACCTTGTTTCAAAATTGAGCACAAAGTTTCCAAAAATTACTTTTTAGTCACTAACTCTGATTTGGGATCTTTCAAAAATACTAGTATTTGTTGTTTTAATGCGAAATTTAGGGAAGCAGTAAAAATCCATTTCCACATGTAAATGCCGTTATTTTTAGCATTTATTACGTTATTTCTTTATATACAAAATTTAGGGAAAGTTCAAGGAAGTAATTAAACCTAAAATCTTGCCCTAATCATGATTTTCTTGTAATTTCCCCTTAATTCGCCTCCATTTAGCTCAAATTCTGCGGTTTGAATATCAAACATATTACGTTATTAAAAAAATTATGAATGCAATTATGATATAGTTTTAGATTTTTAGTATCCTTATTTTTAAAGAATATTAACAATAAATTTATTATCATGGTTTAGTTTTAAAGGAACTTAAGAGTTTTATGTTAGATTTGTGGAGTTAGAGATATTTTACGATGAAACTGTAATTGGATTCGTGTTCATGGGGTTGAAAGAAGTGAATTGGAAAATTTTGAGATCCAACGATCATTGAGGACAACAGTCGATGGCGGCCGACAGTGACCGACGACATGCAGCGAGGGATTTTGATCAAATTTATTGGTTAAATTGTTATTTTATCTAAATTTCAAGGTTCAAATTAATATTTTATCTAAAGTTTAGTGGTCAAATTAGTATTTTATCTAAAATTCAATGATTAAATTAATAATTAAACCATTTTACTAATGTATCAAGTCATCAAACTAACGGTATTTAACGTCCTAGTGACCAAAATGTTATAAATTGATAACATAGATGACCAAAAAATCATAAATGAATAACAAGGGACTAAAACATTATTTTCTTTGAATTTAGTGGGTAAAAGTGAATACTAATTATCGATCAATCTTATATTTGAATCATAAGTTTTGTTATACATGTATTTTATAAGAGTATAAATTGAGCTTATTCAATCATATAATTGAACTTCTTACTACTTTATGGTAGAATATAATTATTCAAGTGTTGATTGATCTAATGGACTCACATGGTTTGACAGTATCGTAAAAAAAAGACTAAATTGATCATATTTTCAAATATAAAAGTTTAAATTTATTGAATTATTTCATATTAGAACTAAGATGATATAACATATAAGTTTTAAAGACTAAAATTATTATTACACCAAACCAAATTTTCAGTTCTATATTATGCCAGGCAGGTCTACCACGGAGGCGATTCATCTACTTCGACGGCTTATGGAGAAATATAGGGAAAAGTCTAGAGATCTTCACATGGCGTTCATTGACCTTGAGAAGGCTTATGATAGTGTTCCCCGCGATACGATCTGGAAGACTTTGGAAACGAGACGGATCCCAACTGCTTATATCCGGGCGATTCGTGATATGTACTGTAGATCTACTACTTACGTCAGGACTACAGTTGGTGACACCGAGGCATTCCCGGTGGAAATCGGACTCCACCAGGGGTCGGCTCTTAGCCCTTACATCTTCGCCTTGATTATGGACGACATCTATTGTGCGACACCAGACGGTGTACCATGGTGTATGCTTTTCGCTGACGACATTGTCTTAGTTGCTGAAACAAAATCTGAGTTGAATAGTAGACTGGCTACCTGGAAGACTGCTTTGGAAGAAAAAGGTTTAAGGATCAATATTGAAAAGACAGAGTATTTATGTTCAAACTTCAATGGGAACCAAAACGATGAAGATGTAGAAGTATGCATAAAAGGACACGTTCTCCCCTCAAAGGATTGTTTCAAGTACCTAGGGTCTATGATACATAAAGATGGGGGTGTAGATGATGACGTTACACACCGTATAAAGGCGGGATGGCTAAAGTGGAGGGCCGCTACTGGAGTTCTGTGTGACAAGAAGGTCCCTCTAAAACTTAAGGGAAAATTTTATAGAATGGCAATAAGACCAGCGCTGTTGTATGGATCAGAATGTTGGGCAACCAAAAAGGATCACGTAAGGAGGATTGAGGCCGCAGAAATGAGAATGCTTCGATGGACATGTGGTAGGACTCTGAGGGATATGACGACAAACTCTGCTATTATGATGTCCTTGGGGGTGGTGTCTGTTTTCGAAAAATTGAGGGAGGGAAGACTACGGTGGTTTGGGCATGTCCTTAGGCGACTACCGTCGGATGCGGTAAGGAGGGTAGAGTCGATTACAGTCGACGGTGCCAGAAGGAAAGGACGACCAAGGCGAAAGTGGGAAGACTGCTTAAGATCTGATTTGAGGGATTTAGCCCTTACCGAAGACATGACCTCTGATAGGAAAATATGGAGGCTAAAGACTAGGGTAGTCGAGTAGTGTAGGTCACATCTATAGGGTGTATCATCTCTGTCTTCTTTTAATGTCTTTGTAGTATTTTCCATGACTTATACTTTTTATACGTTTCTGTTATTGGTATTTATGAAGGATTAGAACTGGGCTTGCTAACGTTGACTTCTGGGTATCATTCTCTTCATGTTTCCTCTTTTAAATTTAGCCGGATCTTATGTTTCTGTCTATATGCAGAGATTCTTTCGCAGGGATTATTATGCAGGGATTAATTCCCGTTACAGACGCACATATGATTTTAATGACTGCATATGAATATTGTTTAGCTATGTATTTATGTATTTATTTATACATGCATTGCATTTTATCTAAATTTTTAATTTTCTGACTGCCGGAGGTCTTCCACGGAAGCTACTCTCAACCTGGCGTTGGGGGTAGCCTACTACCCTACCTCCCCCTTACCCCATACATATGGGAATTGGGTTTTGTTGTTGTTGTTGTTGTTGTAATTATAACTTTTAAAAAACAAAACATGATCTATTTATAAATCGACCTAATAATTGAATGACCCAGAATACAATTTATCCATAGAAAAACAGTTTTTTATCAACTTTGTTGTTTTCGTTCGTTGAAGAAGTTAGATTTAATTCTAAATTTCATCCCCTAACTTACAAAAAGTGAAAATTTAGATCCACTACTTTAATATATTAAAATTCAGTCATCATACATTTTGAAAAACGAATACTTAAGTCCATATCTCAATAAACACGTTAACTTGAATCATTGGCTTTTGTTAATTCTTTCATATAAATGGTTGGTCAATCAATTTTAGGTCAATGATGTATTAGAAGGTCTAATAGATTCGTCGAATCGGATAAACTTTTCGAATTTCGTAAATTATAAAGATCATATTCTGACAAATTACAGTAAAGGGATTATCTTCTCAATTTCTTTGAAATAAAAGAATGAAATTGAGAATTAAACTGAGGAAATTTACAAACATTACATTCTTTAATGAATACAATTGTGAATTTAGATGAAATTTTTACCATGTATGAATTTGTAAAACTTTTGGAATTGGTAATTTTTTATGCAAATTAAAAGTAAAATTAAAATCAGTAAAATAAAACATAAAAGTATATATAATTTGTTTTTTTCTCGTTAAAAAGGCTTACTATTTGTGTTTAAGTTCCTCCAACAATTTTGCTTCAGTTCTCAGGCTGTGATCCTTCAGCTGAACAGTGGTGGTCGTCGTCTTTATCGCTGCGTTTTTTAGCTTTCCGGCGACCCTTTTTCGTAGAACTGCTCCTATGGCACGACGAATCATTTTCGTCCTTAGGTTTCTTCTTCTTGCTGCTGCTTTTATGACCCTTTGATGTTTTTTCTTTCTTTCTAGTATTTGTTGCTGAAGAATTCGATTTCAAGCTGTCGTTTCGTCTTTCGTCGGCCTTTTCGGTGCTCGAAGAAACGTTGCCTTTGTCGTCTTCGGAATGTTCGTCGTCCTTTTCGTTGCTTGAAGAAACGTTGCCTTCGTCGTCTTCCGAATTACCCTCGGATGCGTCGCTGCCATACGACGAGTAGTTTCCTGATTTGCTCGATTTCTTGCGGCTCAAGGAACTGTCTCGCCCGCTCCTATTGCCGAATGAAGACAACGACCTCCCGCTACTCTTATGGCTGAGAGAACGGTCACCGTTTCCGTAGGCGGAAGCGTCGTCGCTTCCGGATTCGTTATCGGTTTCCTCGTCTTCATCCTGCTTCACCGAAGCTTCATCGTCCGATGATCCACTATTTCTGGACATGGAGCGCAATTTGCCTGAGATTGGAGGAGGGAGATCTTCAGGGATGTTGTTTGCTTCGTTGGCCATCGAAAGGAAACTTAAGATTGAAGATAAATCGCTGATCAACGGCCGTGCCGCCGCTTCTTCTTGCACGCACATGGCTGCCATTGCAACAGCTTGATTCAACCCTCTTTCTGGGAATTTGTTGTTGAGTGAAGGATCTGCCATGTGTGGGAAATTTTTTGGTTCCTTGAATATTGGTTGTGCCTGTTCCAATCATACAATCAACCCTAAGTAAATTTGAGGGGTTCATAGTGGAATTTTACATTTATATTGATTGCATTTCATAGATTTTGAAGGGACTAAATGGAAATTATCCCATTTTCCACATGAAACCCAAAATAATCTAAACTCAAGTGTGATTTGAACCTGAAATGAATACCAGAAACCCAAATGACTAGAACTCAAAATGATTTTAACTAGAAATAATCAAAACAAATTCAAACCAATAAAAACTGAAATGATTAGAATACGAAATAAATTAATTTAATAAAAACTCAAACGAAAAATCTAAAAATAATAAATTTGAAATAACCTAATATGAAATGATGTGAACTCGAAATAACTCGAAAAATATAAAAGCTGAATTAACTCGACCTTTTTTATTAAAATTCGAACAAACAAGCCCTAGCTACGGACTTACCCAAGCAACTAAATTTTGCTCTTCCTGGGGTTTGGAAGGGTCGAGGGCTTTTCTTCCGGAGATAAGCTCCAACAGCACAACTCCAAAACTATAGACATCGGTCTGTGCATTGATGGTACCCGATTGCATACACTCTGGAGCATTGTAACCATTGTTATCCATTATCTTCGACTGCATCGGCATCTTGCTGTCGGCCGACGACCCGAGCTTGTCGATCCCGATGTTTGACAGCTTCGGGTTGAATTCGTCGTCCAACAACACTTTTGAGGACTTGAGATCACGATATATTATTGGAGGTTTAGCCTTCTCATGCAGGTATTGTAGACCTTGAGCCGTCCCTTGTGCTATTTTCATTCTTGTAACCCAATCTAATGGCTTCCCTCCTGCTTTGATATCTATATTAATTACACTTTGAAAAATATTAAAGCACACATGTTTAAAATATCGGGTTAATTATATCCTACATCTAAATTGATCTTTCTAATTGAGTCCTTAAAGTAAGGATATTTTATCAGTCAAACCCTTCCATCAACTTTGTTATTAGTTTGAGTATCGGGTGCCAACTCAAGTATAGGGTGAAGCATATGTAACATTTGGAGTGCGAAGGTTATAGATGGTTCAACTTTTATGATTTAGATAGAGAATCACAAACGATAATTTTAGAAAGAGTAGTGTGACCAAGATAGTGGTCGTCATTGACTAGGTAAGGAGAAGAGTCTGAGAGATCACCTCAGTCTTGTATGGGGTTTATATAATGATCTTTGGTGTTGATGTCAGATGAAAGGTCATAATGACTCTTGTAGGTTGACAAGGCAAATAGATATTATCATCTAACAATAGATTTGATTCTGTCAGATTACGTGAGTCTATCATAGGTCATGTCAAAAAGAAAATCACTAGTCAAAAGATGTGAAATCCCAGGGGCTATGCTCAGCGGAGGAGATCCTCCGAGGACTTCTTATTTCAAAGGCTTTGATAAGCAGAGATGTGACTTGTGGAAGAGATCCGAAAGAAATGCAACAAAAACACACGAGGCAAATCAATATGGTTGGTACAGACGTCTTATTCAATTGGTATTTAACACCTAAACTTGACGACTAAATTGATGGAAGGAACTAATTGAAGCAATATTGAGAAGGATCAAACAGGATGTTTTGAAGTATAGGGATCAATTCGAAATCTAGACAATTATTCAGGGAAATTTGAAGAAATTAACCCGAAAACGTTAGCATGTAAATGGGAGAGAGAGAGAAAAACAAAGATTGAATTGCATGTACCATGCAGATGATCTTCTAAGGAACCCCCTGGCATAAATTCAAAAACCAAAAGCCTCTGATCTCCATCAGCACAATATCCAACAAGACTGACCAGATTTGGATGCTGTAGGAGACTTAGCTGCCCAACTTCCACAAAGAACTCATTGCCTCCTTCCATTGCATTCCTATCAAGTTGTTTCACAGCAACCTCCTATTTTTTCCCAATCAAAATAAACAAAGCATTAGTAAACAAATCCGACCCGACATTATATATATATATGATCATTCGAGTATATGAAAGGCTCGGACGTAAAGCGGACCTGGCCGGTAGCCTGAATAGTTCCCTTGTAAACTTTGCCGAGACTACCTTCACCCAACAAGCACTCTTGACGGAAATTCTTGGTGGCGGAGGCTAACTCACGGAAGTTGAATGCTTTAATTGAACTATTGTTGTCATAGTCAGCTGGAACTGTAGTAGGTGCCTCTTTCTTTTCTGTTTCAAGATTTCATAAATTATTGGTTTAGTCCCTCTACTATGATGAAAAATAAGATTTACTCCTAAATTATGTTGCCCTAATTTGATTATTCTATCCTTATAATGCCATGTGTACGTCAAAATTGATATCTAACATAATCGAGGTCGTGTTCATTTTTGTTGACGTTCATGCTATCATTTTCAAAAAATAATATTGAATCATTTTCGATCTCAAAGCGTACCAGGTACATATTGTTGTTGAGGTTGCAGTTGTTCAACGCCAGAAACATCATGGTCCTTTTTGCTGCCTCCCTCCTTCTTGTTCTTTTGCGAGGAGAAACAAGGGAAGCAATTCATTTTATTTGTTTTATCGGAATGTCAATCGGAAATTGCTCCAAACCGGAAAGAGAAGAGAGATTACAAAGTCCGAAACACCGAGAGAACGATGTCGAATTAATCTCAGCTCGTTAAGCGCGAAAACGATCAAATCGAATCAAACGAGCCGGAGACATCGATTGTAGGTGTAGGGGAGGGGAAGCCTTCAAGAGATTGAAGGGCCCCTCTTGGGTGCAGGGGGGTTTGCAACCAAGGAGAAGAAGAAAAGATCATGAGAAGCCATGGTTTTGGAAATGACAAATTATAAAACCAAAAAACCAAAAAAAAAAGGCAAACAAAAATATTTTAGGTTTTTTGTCCTCAAAGTTGTCGGAGAAAAAGATGGAGAATTGAGTGGACATTGTTTTATTAAAGGATGGTCAAACAAACTATTCATTTATTTCAATGTTGAACCTTTCTTTTCCAAATTCATCTTCCAACTTAATACATCTTTTTATCCCATAACATTGATTCAGTTACATGTACAAATATATATTCATGTAACATTGATTAACTTAGTGTTGTATATATTCCATGTACAACTGTATTGTCAATATTCATCATTGTGTATAATCTTTTCTTCCTTTTGTTTCCCACTTCAAAAAGTACAATTACACTACATACGTCTGAACAAGTGAATATCTCGTGTTTGAATTTATGATATTCATGGGCACATCATATTGATAATAAATTATCTAATATATTTAGGGGTGAGTATCGAGTCGAATCGATCGAGTGAAAAGATTCGAGTTGACGAATATTTTTTTACCATTCAAGCTTTATTTTAAGAAGATCAAATTAAGTTTATGAACAAGCGGTGGAGCAGTCGTCGTTGTCGTGACCAACTAGGGTCTTCATTGGGAAAGTCCGAGGGGGTCGGGGATATTGAGGGTGTTCCGAGGAGACCAATGGACTGAGACGATAATGGATGATGGGTCACAAAGGCCATTTAAGTCATATCGATTCTCCTTCTCGTTCGAACAATCTTATATATCAAGATAAGTTTGATGTTGGCAAGAAAAAATAATTGTGGCGGCGGAACCAGTGCGAGCCAAAGGAAACGTAATGGAAGACCATAGCAATTAGCTTAACGAAAGTTTTTATATTATATTTTTTATGTAAATATAGGTTATCAGTTTTATCAAAAATATTTAAATTTATAATGAAGGTTTATAATTAAATATAAATTAATCATTTAGAATATTTCTTGTAATTTTTTGTATATAAAATTAGCCTTTTTTATTAATTTAAAGAAAATGACAATGTTAACCTATAACAAAGAGTGTATCTATCTTATTTATATTGTAGATTATATCATATGTTATATATCACGTTATTATGAACTGATGTTGATAATTAATTTTGTTAATAGATCGAATGATAGCTATTAAAATAGTGAAAGAGAAATTAATTATCTAACTGGAAAAATATATAATTTCGAATAAAATTCAGTATCAAACCATCTTTTTACTTCATTATTTTTGTAAGAAAAACCTTGTTAATGGCGAATGAGCTTCAAAATTTGGACAAATAATCAGGGATAAATTACATTATAAGTCATATTACTATTAGTCAGTTTATAACTAAATCACTGTGTTTTTAAAATTTATAATTAAACCACTCCATTTATAGATTATAACAATCATGTCACTTTAACTTTTTTTAGTTATATTTTAGTCACTCAATTATGAGTAAGTTTATATTTGTTTATTCAAACAAAATTAAAAGATTAACTCCCATTACAGATTTAACGAAAAAGTATTATGACAGTTAAAAATCAATAAATAGAATGACCAGTGATTTTTTTGTAATATTATGACCCAACTATAAACATACTCATAATAAAATGACTAACACCATAGTTTAGCTATATTTAAATTAATCCAAAAGTAGAAGAACATTTCTCCTTTCCCTCCAAAATTCATGCTTTTTCCGACACCGATCCAGTCAAGAATTTTCCGAGAGATCACCGCAATGGCTTTTACTTTCAATAACTACGTTTCAATCCCTCTTATAACGCTTCATCCTCACCGGGTTTCTCGGTTTCTAGAAAAACCAAGTTTTTCCCTTCGTATCACAAGTGAATTAAGAACAATTTTTGGCGTTCATTTAGCTTGAATATTGAATTTTCGTAAGTTCTATAGAAAACCCTAGATGTTTTTGAAGGAAAAAATTGAACTTTGGATTGAATAAACCAAAACCTAGTTGAGATAATTGAAAATTGAAGTGACCCTTTACCGAAACTAGTTTCTTTTGTTTTTTCCCCCAGGTTTCTCGGGAAACAAACATAAACTTTGAAGGAATGGCATCGGTCTTTCTGTACCATGTGGTGGGAGATTTGACGGTTGGTAAGCCAGAGTTGGAAGAATTCACCGAAACGGAGACGGTGGCATCGGCCATAAGAGTAATACGAGAATCAACAGAGTGTGGGATACCAGTTTGGAAGAGAAGAGCACATCCGGGAATGATTGAAAACAATGAAATGACACAACAGAGATTTGTTGGAATTCTTACATCACTCGATGTCGTCTCCTTTTTAGCCAAACCTCAATGCTTGGATGATCATGTCAAGGCTATCAAAACACTAGTCTCTGATGTTGTTGTCCCAAACAATGGTCTCTTAAAGATTGTTGAACCTGGCACCAGGTTTGCTCATTTGAAAAATGTGACTTCAATTTGGCTGAACTGCATTTGTTCTAGGTGTATCCTTGCTTAATGATCATAACGATTTGATTTTTCTGTTCGGGGTTGAAATTTGTGTTCAATATCAATCTCATTCTTCCCCTCCAAGTATGATGTAGAGTTTATGAATCTTGTTTAAGACTAATTTGGTAGCTGATTGAAATGGTTCTGTTTAGTGTTTGCTGCCTGTTTAAGTAGAATTGTTACTCTCTTGATGGCATTTCTAATTCATAGTTGTTGAACTAAATTTATGTTCAATATTGATCTCATTCTTCCCCTCGAAGACCGAAGTATGATGTAGAGTCAATGAATCCTGTTTAGGACTATTTCGGTAGCTGATTGAAATGGTTTTGTCTACTGCCTGTTAAGCGGAATTGTTGCTCTCTCTGATGGCATTGCTAATTCGTTGTTGTTGAACTAAATTTATGTTCGATATTGATCTCGTTCTTCCTCTCAAAGTATGGTTTAGAGTTGATGAATCTTGTTTAGGACTATTCGGTAGCTGATTGAAATGGTTTTTTTGTTTACTGCCTGTTTAAGTAGAATTGTTACTCTCTCTGATGGCATTGCTTATCCGTTGTTGTTGAACTAGACTAATAGATGCACTGGAGATGATGAAGCAGGGTGTGAGGCGACTTCTTGTTCCGAAGGGCACCGTATGGAAAGGAATGAGCAAGAGATTCTCGATCCTTTATCACGGGAAGTGGCTCAAGAACATGGAGGGTAGCTGCGGTAACCTCGGTCTTAATACCTGTTGCCCTTCGTCGTCATCTTCCGCTTCATCAACCTCTGCCTACATGCGCAACAACAACTTTTGCTGTCTGTCGAGAGAAGACATAATCCGTTTCCTCCTTGTTTGCCTCGGTGCTTTAGCTCCACTCCCCCTGACTTCTATTTCCTCGCTCGGAGCTATTAACCAAAACTATTGCTCTATCGATGCCTCCCTCCCCGCTTCCGAAGCTATGCAAAAACATCCCTGTGATCCGAGTGCATTTGCCATTATGGAGAGCACACCAGAAGGTCACCATAGAATTTTAGGAGAGATCTCGGTCTCTAAACTATGGAAATGTGATTATTTAGCTGCAGCATGGGCTTTAGCCAACCTCTCGGCCGGACAATTCGTAATGGGGATCGAGGATAACGTGAGTTCAAGATGGCTCAACGATGTTTGTGATAGTTCAAAGCCAAGGAAACACATTAGTACAAAATGTGGGTTCAATCCATCAGGACCGAATTTCGGAGTCGGCCGGAGCACATATAGGGGCAGAAGTGCGCCGTTGACGTGTAAAACTACGAGTTCGTTGGCTGCAGTCATGGCTCAAATCCTGTCTCATAGGGCAACCCATGTTTGGGTGACCGAAGGCGAAGATGATGATGTTGATGTTCTTGTTGGGGTGGTGGGTTATACCGACATTTTGGCTGCAGTCAGCAAACAACCTACTTCTTTGGTGCCCGGATCTCGATCGAACACGGAGCTTCGCTCGGAAATGCATCATTGAATTCCCTAACTCCACCTCTTTTTATTCTATTCTAACCTCTTCATTTTAGTTCCATCGTCTGCTTTTGTAATTGCCCTTTTCTTGAATGAAAAGATACAGTCAATATATATATATATATATAAGCATCTGATTCGTATTCTTTCAAATCCAGCTTTGCTTCTAAAGTTTTTGAGCATTAGCTGTTAGATTCTTTACATGAAAGAATAAAAAAAAAATTGTATAGAATCATATGCCCAACCAAATTAACGTGGAAACGTTAGTTTTATAGTTTTCCCATTTCACAGAGAAATTTAAAACCAATGGGTCTTAATGACAACCTTTCTAACATTTACAATACCATAATACTCATTCAACTTATATCACATCATTTATCAAAAATAAAATTATACGAATATTATTTATAATTTTTCTGATTGTACTTATGTTGTGACTTATGGATAAAAAAATAAAAAATGTATAAGTAATTTTCGTATTAATTCATCTTTTTTTTTATTTTCACCTATAGAGTTCATGTGGCATAATTTAATGTATTATAATATAATATATATGAATAATTATTTAATACACATAAAAATTTTATTTTCATAAACAATATTAAAACGATAGGGTTACAATGATGAAGTGGGTTTGGGTTAAAGAGAATGATGGCTCTTTCGTTATTCTCAGGGAAGGAGTCTTCTTCGATTATGGGGGCAAATAAGCATCAAGACGATAAATTTTGGTAGCCGGCGACGAAAGCGAGAAATCGGAGAAGTCGTTGTTCTTTTCCTTAAACTTTCCGATCAAACTCATTTCTTTTTTCCTTTCCCCTCTCAGTTTCAAGGAATCATTCAAAGAACATTGTTCTTTTTTTTTTTAGCATTTCAAAGAACATTGTTTTTTGTGGAGAAATTTGTAGGTATTATAATTTGAGAGAATTTAAACGAGGGAATAAGAAATTTCTAACATTGGATGAAGCTATGGTTTTTTGGCAGAAGAAAGAAAGAATGCAGGAAGGGAACGATGTAAAGAAGATGGAGTTGTGGGAAATTGAGTAAGTCTTTGCATGCTACCGTTAGCATTTCCTTTCTCAAAGGCAATTGTCAGCCTTTTTGATTTTTTTTTATTATTTTTTGTATTATAAGAATTAAATTAAAAAGATTAAAAGTATAAGAATCAAAGTAAAAATTTTAAAATATAATTATACATAACAAATTTTATAAATAATAAATTTTTTAAAAGAATAAATTTATAAATTTATTCGGTTAAAATTATCAATAAAAAATTAAAAAAAATTAAAGACCAAAATATATAATGATAAGACGTTTTTAGTTTATTGTTTGGGCGCAAATCTCGAAAAGTTATATATGTTTAAAAAGTCACTTCAATTTGAGTATAAAATTATGACATTTCAAAGTCTTACAATATATTTATAGTTCAAACAAAAACATGATTTATTTTTTAAAATGTATCATTCAATTATATATATATATATATATATATATTTCAAATCGTTGAAAGACAAGACTGATCAAACATATCTTTTCACGCATTTATTGACTATAATATAACATATAACTAAAATCGCTTTTCAAATTTCAATTGATCGTTTTAAATCCTATTATTCATGTATTATTTGCATCAGGACCGAAATCTCAAAATTCAAAAGCTATAAGAACTAGAATAGATAAACTAGAGCATATTTAAATTCATAATTTTAACATAGTAAAGGGACTAACAACTAATTTGACCTACGATGATTATAATAAATTTGTCTCTTGTCTTTATATTTGTGTAAGATAAGAGAAGATGCCCCTGCACGCTACTGGGCAGCGCTTATAAATAAACGGTAGTCTCGAGGTTGAAGAAAGAAAATCACAAGCAAAATTCAAGAAATTTGTTTGAACAAGGAAAATGGGTTTGAAGGTATAATTTCCTTTCAATTCAACCCCTACTCCATTTTATTGTTTTATTTTCTGGATTTTTTTCTCTTGTTTCTCACTGAATAATTGCTTCCGTTGATCGTTCTTATGATTTTTCCATATGATTAATTGCTTCCCTTCATCGTTCTTTTGGCTTTTCTTCATGCAAATGTCAATCAATGTTATAAAAGATGCTGAAGGTGATTACACCAATATCTGGAAATTTTAGGCTCTGTGTTCAACTTATTCCACTGAAGCTTTTTAATCAACAAATCTATGGGTATCTCCTTGGATTTCATCAAAAGATTAAAACTTTCTGCGAAACATCTATTGTCTCTGCTACTAGTACTATAATCAGGGTGAAACCAGAAATTTCGTATAAAGGCTTAGGTTGAATGTTATATTTTCTAAAGGGACCAAATAAGTAACTTATCCAATTTTTGCTAGGGGGGCAGGCAGCCCCTGGATTCACCCCTGGCTACAAGTACTCTGTTTTAGACTTGTCTATTGGATGGATATGATAAGTTTTGAGTCTGTCAATTCGGGTATTAAATTTTTCTACTTATTTCGAGTTCAGATCTTGATTGTTTATGTTCAAATCGAATCGAGTTCAGATCTTGATAATGTTGTACCCCGGTTCTTGACTGTGTAGAGGAATACGAGTTTGCCGAGAAATCAGATATTGATCGTTTATGTTTAGATCGAATCGAGTTCAGTTTGAGTATGATAATGTTGTACCTTGGTTCTTGACTGTAGGAGGAATTTGAGGAGTATACCGAGAAAGCTAAGACCCTCCCGGCGAGCACTACGAACGATGACAAACTCATTCTCTACGGACTCTACAAGCAAGCGACTGTTGGACCAGTGAATACCAGTTAGTGTACATATATACTTATAACTCATATGTAACCATCTTGTTAGTCTCCATATAATAAAGGGACTAATGGGTATAATTTTCCGAATCGAAGGTCGTCCCGGAATGTTCAACCTGAAGGAAAAGGCCAAGTGGGATGCATGGAAGGCTGTTGAAGGTATAAAGCTATGTTAAATCAATATAGATCATTATTTGGTTTGCTTCGAAAAGTGTTTAGCATGTATGAACTATGAATCGAGTATGTTTTGAATCGGCGTATGTGTTTCCGATAGGGAAATCTTCGGAGGACGCGATGAACGACTACATCACCAAGGTGAAACAGCTGCAGCAGGCTGCTGGTGCATCTTCTTGATGTGTGACAAAGATGAAAATGATGTGATTTCAAGGCCCTTGGTATCTGGGATTAAGATGAACTCAAAAAGAAACTAAGTTATTAGATGGTTTATTTTACTTGTAGCATCAATGAGTTGAAATGAATAAATATACTTACTGTTCGGATGTTTGATTTCCTATGGTATTTTCTTTTCAGAGAAAAAAACTTTGGGAGAACTTCACGTTTAGTCACCCAGTTATTGAGTTGTTTAAATTTTGGTCATTTGATTAAAAAATTAATTTCTTCCCAATCGTTATAAAAATTGATATCTCCGATCATTAATGTTGGTGATAATGTGGTTTATTTTTAAGGGTAAAGCATATCAATAGTCCCGATTATAAGGTGTTATTTTGTTAAATCTCTTGACTAATAAAACTATAATACATTGTTTTGTTGAGTCCCTTGACTGTTAAAAGTTAAAAACGGTTGCCTGACTATTAATATGGTCTAAACTTATTTTTTCCTATTAAAAATTGACAATCGTCAGAACTAGATATTAATTTATTGATTTGAATATGATAAAATTATATTTTAATGATATCTATCAGTACTGTAGTTACTTTCAAGCATTGGCTCGATAACCTAATGTATCTAGCATTGTCTCGATAGCATAATGTAAACAGAGATTTGATCTATAAAATACAGTTCAATCGATTTTTTATTTAGATTTTATTATATCTTAGTGAGCAGGTTAACGTCCACTCAGACGGCTATCAATTTCTTAATCGGAAAGAACGAGATTGGAACATATGAATAGTCGAGTGACTATTTTGTAACTTTTAGTAGTTTGAGGACTCAACAAAGCAACATCTTATGATTTAAGAATCATTTTATAACTTTTAATAGTCAAATAACTTAATAAATCAAACCTTATAATCGGGAGATCATTTGTGTATTTTACTTTATTTTTAATTGAGTTTAATGATTGGTATTAATTATTTTTAAATTAAGGTAATTTATCTTTTTCATAAAAAATTATATAAAGTTTAAAGAGTTTTATATTTATAAGTGAATAGTATGTTTTAATTCCAAATAAAACCCATTTGTAGCAATTTTAGAGAAAATATTTGATTTTTTTATTTATAAATAACCGAGTTAAACCCAACTCGTAAGAAATAAACCCATTTGTGGACCCAAGCCAAGGTCAAATTAAGATATTCAAATCGAAAAAAGTAGGGATGGATATTTGGATTTTAACTTTATTTTAAGTAGGACTAAATCACAAATTTTACCGAAACATTAGGACTGACAACAAGTTTTTGACCAATAAAATACGCACCATATCTTCAATGCATCTAGCTTTAGCCCTTATGGGACCACAAGCATCAATGGCGAATCTAGAAACAATAATTCAGCATAAGATCCTAAAATGCTATATTCAATTCCAACTATATTTTTCTCTTCATCCTTTTCTAGCTTTGGAATGAATATGTAGTGCAAAAACTATGTCGTAATTTCGTATATTAAAATAATCATTTTAACTTTTTTTATTATTTTAATTCCAAATATTTTATTTTAGAGTAAAAAAATATAAACATTTGTCTATATAGTCATTTTACCACTTATTCTTTTTTTTCCTTGAGAATATTTTGACTCTCGACATTTCATTTTAGAGTAAAAAAATTCTTTACATTTAATTGAATAGTCACTTTGTCTATTGTTTTTTAGATTATTTTGACTTTCGACTTTTCATTTTAAGATACAAAATTTCTTATTTCAAAGCGTTAATCATTTATAACTAACAATTTTAATATATAAAAAGACTTTTTATCTCAAAATACAATATTAGAAGCTAAAATGCTCCGAAAGAATAATAGGAATAAAAATAATATTTAGTCAAACAAAAGTTAGGGGAAATTTTTTGACATTATGCATTTATATAAAAGAAACTTAGGAAGTTTCACGATATTGAATTCGAGTCTTATTTTGTGTAAGTTATATTATAGGTATCAGTCGGGGATATGTCCCACCAATGGTAAATTTTCAAATTTAAACCTTCAAATCTATGATTCTGAAGTTAGGTAATTGTATATACTTTTATTTGTAATTTAAAAACTGATAAAAACCTCAGAGTATCTTTCTTTATAAGAGATGAATTTTAGAATAATTTCCCATAATATTCTAAAAAACAAAGTTATGGGAAAATGTCTACTTAATTGTTTTGTTATAAAAAGTCCTAAAAAAAGAAAAGAGTTAAAGACATTTTGAAAGAATTGACATGCATTTATTTTCATCCACAAGTTGGCTTGCCTTCCAAAAGTCTAATTCAATTTACTTCAATCATAAATCAATTCGATTAATACCTTTTAACAAATTCAAAACACATTTGTCTTCCTATGGTATTGTATGCAAAAAAGAACACACGAAAACAACAAGCACACATTTCAAATCAGTATGCATATGACTCCAATCACTTGGATTTACGTTGCCAAAACAGGCAACTCTGGTCTCCCATGCCAAAATAGTTGAACAAAGGTAGTGATTTAGGCAAATACGTGTCTCTCGTGCCGAGACTCTAGTTAAGCAACCGTGCGGCATTAGATTCGGAACTTAAGGCAATTTCCCAATAGCACAAACATCATAAAGATTTTATTCATTTGAACTCGTTCACGCTACAAGTCAAATCACTTAAAAGTAGCAATAGAGAAAGAGTACATTGTTTATTCCTGGTTAAAAACATGTTTCAAACCCACGTAAACAAACTAGGGCTTGACATCATACCATGTTTTGTCATTGTCACACACATCAAGAAGACATTCCAGCAGCCTCCAGCAGCTGTTTTACTTTGGTGATGTAATCACCCATTGCTTCGTCCTTGGATTTCCCTAGCGAAAACCGAAATCAGATTCAAACATAAAGCCATTCCTATATGTAAATAACAGTTTTCGAATGAAACCAACTAATACTGTTTCAAACATAGCTTTACCTTCAACAGCCTTCCATGCATCCCACTTGGCCTTTCCCTTCAGGTCTAGCATTCCAGGACGGCCTTTGCATAGGAAGAAAAACACAAAACCCATTAGTCCCTTTTATTAAATATGTTACTCGGAATCAGGTCCATGTGTTAGACGATGCCGAACAGGAATACTTCGAAAAGAATGAAAAGTCCGAGCAACATTAAGTTACTAATGAAAAAGGTTGAAATGGGTTATATATGTATACTAACTGGTGTTCACTGGTCCAACAGTAGCTTGCTTGTAGAGTCCATAGAGAATGAGCATGTCATCGTTCGAAGGGGCGGTTGGGAGGGTCTTAACTTTCTCGGCATGCTCCTCGAATTCCTCCTATACAATCAAAGATTAAAACACCTCATATATACTAAAAACTCGGAATGCTGCAATTTTAACTTGTTTTTTAAAGGACCATACGTTGAAAGTGAAACAACAACATATGCGCAATGATCTGATCATATGATTTGAGTTCACCCCTATCAGGCTGACCTTTGAGATTTAATCTTTCTACTTTTATAATATTATAAATCCGAATAGATAACAACCAGGACTCTCCCAATAACATATGAAACTAAAGAATCAAATTATACCAAATTAAAGTTGAGAAAGCAAGTCTCGGATCTCAGCATAATAGAGAGAATGAGAGATAGTAGCAAAAAACAAAGATGTTTTCAGACTTAAAAGAAAACCAGATGAATGCAGTCCTTAAAACTTCTAGATATAGAGGTAATCACTTCGAATTGACTACTTTTCTTGATAATAACGAGATCAAATTCCTTTATTAGTCCCTGTAATTTCCAAATTCTATATCTTATTCATAAATTTCTCCGGTACTATTCAGATCAATACCGAAAGTTCAAAACCCGGATTAGAGTACAGGGACTGAATCCGCAACCCGTAAAGAGACTAATGACAAAATTTAACCTAATAACAATCCTAAGGAGACATAAGGAGATAATCAGAGATCGGTTTGAGTGAGAAAATTTTTCCAAAATAAAGGGAAAATCGCAGATTGTGAATGAAAAGGAAAACTACATAAAGGAAATCATACCTTCAAGCCCATTTTTTTTCTATATAGGAAAGATGGATTAAACTCTCAGAGAGAGGACTCTCTGTTCTGCGTTTCGTCTTCAATGGACTCAAACTACCATATATATACACCTGTAACTACTGTCAGTACACGTGGTAGGTAATCTTTGAACCTTCGTGTTTAAAATTTATGTTGATTTTTTTATTTAAATATCGGTATTACGGTCTATTGATTATTTTAAATTGAATTTTGTAAAAGGTAAACACATTTCTAATTCAATTTATTATATTCACAAACGTCAAAATATAAAATCTCAACCTTATTTAAAAGATTTAATTTCTTATTCCATTGGATTAATTGTTGTTAATAGTATTTATGATGATTTAATAAGACGAGACTACATATGAACATGGGTTGGATTGAGTCGAGTTTCTGGTCAACTTGATCCAACCCAAAAATTTTATACGCCCCACTCAAAACCCAATCCGACCTGAATTTATGATAATTTCACCCCGAACCTAACTTTTGAGATAAAACTCGAATTTAACTTGAAATAATATAAAAGTATTAATTGTATTCAGTAAAATAAAGATTTAATTGAAAATAAATAATATAAATAAAGATATTATTATAATTTTTTCTAAATATATAAGGTATAATTATATTATTTTTTGTCGGATCAGGTATTTTCACTTTAAATATGAATCAGACTCGATCCGAATTTCTCCTCTAAAAATTTGATCTGACACGACTCGAACCCAATTTTTTTATAAAAAAAGCCCGATCGGATCGGGTCAGATCAAAACCCGTCGAGTTCAGGTCATGTGCCCATCCCTAAATGAGGACATATAATTTTTTTAATAAAATTAAATATTTAAATTATAATTTTAAATAAAAATTAAATTATTGAAATTAATTGATTAATGAATCAAATATAAATAATTAGAATAATCAATATAAACTTAACAGTGTTATTCTATTGTCAACAACCTATATAAAAGTGGTTAAACCTCTCATTTAATACTTAACCTTCTCATAGATTATGGGTTTAATATTTATTAGGAGCAAAATTTCACTCCTCTCTCTCATATGTAAAGTTTGTTAAAAAAAATTAATGTTATTCAATTTGATACGCACATGTTTATATATTTAGTGATTTTAAATAAAAATAGATCTATATTTTCATTAAATAAAAATAGGATCATATACATATTAACTGTAGACGTTTGATTTCGACCATATCATATAATGAATATATTATATAATAATATATATATTTATATTTTTCTTTTTATTTTACAGAACCAAATAAGTATACAATAGCCCACTTGTGTTCGACCCAGTAACAAACCCTAAGGCAGATTAGGGTTCCTGATGTCTCAGCAGCTTTCCATCTCACCCCAGCACCGTATGGTCAACAGTCCACGTCCAAGAGTCCCACGACCGAATCCCTCGGTCAATAACCCTCACCAATGTCCGAGTTTCACGGTCACACGCAACGATCCCGAAACGTCCGACAACACCAACAACCCACGAAGACAACCAAGTTAGAATAGGACTCAAATGCTTAGCAAATCCTAGGCTATAAATAACGTATGTAATCAACACAGAAATGGGGGGATTTTTTTTACACACTGTTTTTACACAGAATTTTCACACTATTTCACACACACGAGATACACAAATATTACGAGAGGGTACACAAGAAAACACAGGAAAAACTAGCAAATCTATTGTAAATTTCGAAAGAGAAATAAATAAAAGGATATTTTCAAATCAATCAAGGGTAAGTAATTAGGATCGAAATTTACCTTTTAATTTAACTTGTTATTTTTATTAATTAAGACAATTGGAAATTACGTAGTACCGAAAGGGCGGTTCAAGGGTGCTAATCCTTCCTTGACCATAATCGACTCCCGAGCCCGACATATTTCCGGTAAGACGCAGATCAGGTAAGAAATAGGGTATCCGATCAACCCATTTATTTTTAAATAAATGATCGGTGGCGACTCTAACCCAATCAATCCACGTCGAAGCCCAATTTCGAGCCCAACCGAAAGACGGTTCCGACAGCTTGGCGACTCTGCTGGGGACACAGGTAAGTGAGTCAGGCTAAGGTAATTTCCAGTTGTCTTTTTAACGAAAAGGGTAAGTTTAAATATTAAGGTAATATTTCGATCCTTATTACTTATTTTTGATTATATTTTTCGAGTAAATAGTTGGACTGACCGTTTTCTAATGATTTCAGCTTTCCAAACATTTTTCATCTAAGGCTCTAAACACGAGCTCCGAACCCGTTTTAAGTGGGGGTGAAAGCGACGCCTTCGTGGGAATTTATTCTCCGTATGGGCCTAGCAAGTAACCTTCGGGATTCATATACCTTATGCCTTCGTGTGAATTTATTCTCCGTATGGGCATAAGGGAATGTGTCCTCTCGAGTTTAACTTAGTCTACATAAGCCTGTGATGGGTTTCGGACTAAGGGTTTGGTCGGTCCAAGGGGGCGCCAGCAAGGAGAACTCGAGTACCGTTTTTAGAACCTAAACCGGGAGACTTTGAATAAATAGAGCCTACCCCAAAACCACATTCCAAAACCTAGGACATTTCTTTCCTAACCTTTTTTTTGTGTCCTTATGTTTTTTCCTTTACCATTTTTTTTTTCTATTTTACTAACCTTTTTGCCTTTGTGTTTGTTTTTAGCATTTGCATCATAACAAGATGCCATTGATCCCTAAAAAGGTGTTTATTAAAACTCAAATAATCTGAATTCATGGACAAAGGTGTTGTAATACAAGAGATTGAAAACGCTGAGGCACGACTATGGTCCGAGAAGGCTCAAAGTGAAAAGGGATACAGTCTTCAAAGAAGCTATGTGTCAGAGTTGGTTCGCTATACCCCTATCAGCCTAAAACAAAACAATGTACAAGAGCTTCGAGATATCTGGGACAGTTGGAAGAATGATCGGAGACAGAAGTTCAGCCAACGGTACGGTGACATTGCACTCTTGCTTCATGTTAAGACTGATGAGCCCTTAATCAGAGCAATGGTTCAATTCTGGAACCCGGGATATAGTTGCTTCACTTTTAACCAAGAGGACATGGTGCCCACCATCGAAGAATACACTACACTGCTGCATTGTGAAAGCATCAAGCTTGAGCGAGCCTACATTAAACACATCAAAAGCCAGCCCTTCAAGAATGCACTGGCCAAAGTTGCAGGAGTAGATGAGAAATGGGTAATCGATCGGACTCAGCGTAGAGGCAGTGGAGAAGGAATTGAATGGATCCACATAAAGCAACTAATGAAAAACCACCCTGATGAGTGGAAGACTATAGACCTTTTTACACTGGGTCTGTACGGTTTGATCATCTTTCCGAAAGCTTTGGGGTGCATTGACGCTGCCGTGGTGGAACTATTTGAGCAACTTTCTAAACGAGTTAACCCAGCACCAGCCATCTTGGCCGAGACCTTTCGATCTCTCAACCATTGCCGAAGAACTGGCGGAGGAAGATTCACCGGGTGCATTCAGTTCTTCAGGTCTGGATTCACAGCCACTTCTGGAAGACTAACAGGGTTGCCTACCGCCGTTTCAGCACCACCTATTCACCTCTAGGTGAATTTATCACCTTAAAATGGCATGAAGGCGCCTCGAAGGAAAAATGGATGAAGGTCTTTACGCATCTTCAGGACCGGGATATTATCTGGAGAGCCCACTGGCTATTTCTCAGTGACGTTCTTTTCCGATGTGGCGACTCTGACACTGTGACCTTACTTGGACTTTGGGGAGCAGTCGGTATGCTCCGTTATTAGCACTTAGACAGTATGGAGCACGTCAGTTTGTCCCAGCAACATGCGGGTTGGCTAGGTCAGAGTTTGAGTATCACGGCGACAGCTATAAGAAGATGATCAAAGAAGCAGCCGATTCGTGGAGGAAAGTATTCCGGATGGATGTTGTAGCTGCCAGAAGCATGCTCACTCCGGATTATGTGGAGTGGCGAAGATTGAGAAAGAATGACAACATCTCTGTGCCAGACTGTGATGACACCCAAACCATGGAAGAACATCTTAGGCATGTCCCTTCTGAACTCGAGATAGCCAAGACCGAGTTTGAAGCCGTGAATAGTGAGCTGAAGCAAAGGATAAAGGAACTTGAAGCCGAGCACTATCAGTGGAAGCTAGATGCTGACTCTCAGAAAGACCGGGCAAATAAACTGGAAAGAGAACAGAAAAGAGTATGTTTTGAGTTCGAAGACTTGAGAAAGGGGTATCAAGATAAGGTCAAGGATAACGCCAAATTGAAGGTAACCTCTGAATACTGGAAAGACGAAGCTCATAGCCTGAAAAGGAAATTTGAGGGGCCTGATGAGAAAGCTTGGAAGGAACAGATGAAGACTGCCCAAAGACGCTTGGCAGATAGTCAATATCAGAACCAGCGCTTGAGAGTTCGGGTAGCTGACTTAGAAAAACAGCATGAGAAAGATGGCAAGACAATAGCTGAGTTAGAAGCTATTGTAGATGGGTTCAAGAGGCAAGCAAACGAGCTTCAGATGGTGCCCTTCGATGGAGGATTACAATGGCGTTTCCATTGGGAACAAGCACAGCGAAGGGTGAGGGCCCGAGACGCAACCATCCGAGATTTCCTGGACCAAGTGCAAAAAGCAGTCTGTCATCTTCACGGCCTAGCAAGGGAAGCTGGTGTGGTTCGACAAGGCATTCAACAAGTGACAGATGAAGGCAGAAGACTTGTCAACCTACTGGAAGTTGTTCGGGGTCTAGAGGATTTAGTCCGAATGTACCTTTAATTTGTTTTTATGTCTCTTAAAAGATAAGACATTTTTGTCTGAACAAGGGTTTATTTATAATAATGAACACTTTTCTGGATCAATGCCTCCAATTGCATACATCATGCATTGTATTTCTTGCATTTTATATTTCATGTCTGTTTATTTTATATTTTCCATGTTTTTATATTCGTATTAACTAACAGAACATGTCTCAGACATCGAGCTTACCACCGCAAGCATCAGATACACATCATCCGCACAATACTCGAGCAAAAAAGAGACAAATGGAAGCCATAATGGAGAAGATCGAAGAGAACATGACAAGACTTCAAAAGGAATTAG